GTGTGTGTGTGTGTGTGTGTGTGTGTGTGTGTGTGTGTGTGTTGAATTTTCACCATAGCCCCTATTCCACCTAGATGAGCAGATCCAAAATCAAAGCATATTCAATCCTATTACAAACAACGAAAGCCCTTGAGACAATCCAATAATGAAACAGTTTCACCTCTATAGCAAGCAACATGAAGTACAACAGTGGCATGTAAAGCCCTTTCTTAATTGTGTTAACGTTAGCTTTCTTTGGGGTACCCCTTTCATTTGTTCCTGCAGCTCCCCCTTTACCGTGCCTCTTATGCACAAGGCTCACCACGATTGTGGTTGAGCGTGAGCTGCCCGCATCCCCCTGTGTGTGTGTGTGTGTGTGTGTGTGTGTGTGTGTGTGTGTGTGTGTGTGTGTGTGTGCTACGACCATTTCATGATGAATCTGGCCAAATTTTTGCGCTGAATGTAGCAAGGACATGTGGCCAGATTCACTCAAAAATGACGAACGGATGACTCAAATTGACCGGGTTGAAGATTTCTTTTTGCTTGCCTTTGAATTTTCGAGGGTTTAGGGTTTAGGGTTTAGGGTTTAGGGCATAGAATGTTGCTTTAAGGTGCAACACTCGTACGTTCTGGCCGGTGTTGCCAAATTGAAGATGAGATTCCGTCGTCAGAGATACGCTGTCCCCATCGTAGAAGGTCTTCCTGAGTGTAAAGAGGAGCTCCTTCAGTGCGTCCAAGCCCGTCTCGGGTTCCGATTGATCGTCTGTCCGACCCTTCAAAGAGTCCAGCTCCGTCTCCCAGTTGGCCTGTTCCAAATTTTCAGGGTTCTTGAAAGCGTATGGGTCCGTCTCATTCTCGTTCGAGCTTTGAGGTTCGTCGTACGAGCCCACGTTTGACTGCGAGCCTGGGACATCTTGCAGTTTCCTTACAACGGTCTCACTGTTCTTCATACTCTTCAGAGGCTCAGACATTCTGCCAGGCCCATGAACGAGGATGGACACCTTCTTCGGCGGGCTATACATCTGTCGAAACCTGAAATAACCACCAAGGAAAATTAAAACAGGGTAAATTACTAAATTCTATGCTGCTACATCTGAGATTCAGTTTAAGTTGTTTAACAACTATTTGAGTGCAGATATTGCACTCTCTTTTTTTTTTTTTTTTTTTTTTTTTTTTT